GTCTTTTACAAATTCCAGTCGAAGATAGACGTAATCAAACTTGATCAGTTAAGGTGATAAGTAAAGCTCATATTATCAAGCTGTCAAAAAAAACAGGCTGCCTGAGATTTTGATTAAATCACCCCTTGTTCTGTACTTCTTCTACTTTCTCCCGAAGGGATCGGATCAAATACTGTAGTTCCACATATGGCAGGGAAGAAGCGTCTCGTAGTGTTGTAACATGCTCCCAAACCTCATCCAAAACATGCATATCCACGGGATGAGGTAATTTGTATCGGACCCTGCCCCAATCCAAATTGTAGAGCTTTCTCTGGTCTATAGTTCTTTCTTTTTTCTAGTAGCATCAATAGAAAATGTTTCAAGAAGAGGAAGTGTGGGGTGATACCATCTGGGCTACAGGATTTATGGAAAGACTAAAACAGCATGTCAGCACTCAGTGTTGCAGTTACCAACCTCAAACGCATGGCCCATCCAACGCCAATCCAGCAGCCAAGAGGTCCTGAGTGCTGGAATTTCTGGAACTTCTGCTACAGCCTTTAAACTAGGCTCTGGGCTGCTGCTGGGCTTGAAAAGACGGCAGGAACCAGGGTACATAATAGTAGGAGTTTAGGCGAGTAGTCTTTGTAAGGTCACCTGAGGAAAATCATGATTTGGACCGCTCTGTTGAAGGAAAAACAGATTCTCCAATTCAGTCGAGCTCTTTCGCGGCATCAGTCTTGAAAAGAAGAAAAGAATCACGAAATGAAAAATATGGGGGAGAACTTGGATATTCCCTCTGCTCCCGACCACTTCAGTGGATTATCAGTTCTCAAGACAAGGTGTTTGTCTTCGTAATGGTCTTAGCCGTGACCAAACCCAAGCTCCGCCTGCTCCTTGAAGCTGAGCTTTTTTTAGCGCAGTGAAAACAAGTTCGGGTGAATGTTTGACGAGGTTTTTTTTATGAAGAGGATCGAAGTCAAGGGGAATGGAGGGCGAAGTCACGTGGCGCAGTACAGTGTCTACTGTGAGAGTATGCAGTACAATTGAATTATTAGAAAAACGGATACCTTTAACTGCCTCCCTAAGATTCTGAAGTTGCCTTAATTACCGTGTGGTATCGCTCAAAATTCTTTCTTAAACAACAGTCATTAATATAATTCATTATCCTGGGATATCTGGGAGCCCAAAGTAATTTGATGACTCAAGCTGCATACTACCTACTGTATCTACCGCTACCGGGCCTTTCCCATGAAGTAACTTGCGCATTTCAAAAGAGGTAGTACCAAGAAGTTTCCGGAGTCATTTACTACCGGGAAGTTTCTAAACCAGAGCTTCCATACAGTCTCCTCAGGCCTCAGACAATTTTTTTAATTTTTTCAATTTTTCCGTTCTGATAGAGGAGCTTCAAGGGGCGATTCTGATATAAAGTGCAAAGATATGTATAAGTGGCATGATAGATGGAGGCTTCCGAAAAATTTTGGAATTTGGAAGAAAATAGTTGGCCAAAGTATGGATGTGAATACCACAAAGGGTACTGAATTCCAGGAAACACGTCTGAATAAGGATTCGAACTCGCGTCTTGGCTTTAATGTCACCGTGCTTATCCAATGCACCACGAATACTCCACACCCGCCTACCATCTACTTTTACCGTTATTGTCAAGGTAAGTACTCATAAACTTCCACGTTTTGTGAGTATTGATGAGCTGATGTTTGTCTACCGTTGATGGCTTCACGTTGTATTAGCCTAGTGGGCTAGAAAGGTGCCCTTGAAGCTCAGGTGCAAGTTCGCGTCAGGTTCAGACCGAGTGATTTTCCAGTAATTTATCACCTTTGTGATCACATTCATATTACTAACTGTGACGAAAAACAACTATTAACAAAACAAAACCAATTCATTACTATGTTTACCACCAGACACAAATTATCTCTTACCATTTCCATGGCAGGCAGTATGAGCTGATCATGTAAACACGGAGACATGCAAACCCTGACAGCAATTTCTGCATAAGGGCAGTCTAGTATGTTCCTGTACTGATAACAGCCGGCAATAAGTGGTGTCGTTACGCTTGATTGTTTTCTTGAGAGGTTGTCACAGAAACACTTGGGAAATGGATAGCTCGGCTGTCTAAAGGACAGTCCTCGAAATTCCGGCTACAACTTGATCATTGATGGATTGGTCCGATTGTAGACACTCACGTCAATAAATTTCACAGAAAACAACCTTGATTATACCACGAAGTGTCAAAGTAGTTGAGCTCATACAAACTTCATAGAAATAGTTGGGATAACTGAGGGACAGGTCCGAATTCTTCTGTATTGTTAGAGACGCTCTATAAAATTCACGATAATTTCGATGAAGCGTTTCGAGGTGGAAAGCGGAAGTGTTGGTGGAGGTCAAGACGGTGGAAAGGAAGTGAAAGAGTCCTCAGACTTTGTGAAAACTATGATCCTTGAATGTAGGGGGTTGCACGAGATTACCATGATGAAAAGATCAGGGTGGGGATATTTGGACGGGATTTGAGCTGATACAATTGCGTCATGAACTGGTTACATTGAACCAAATATGCTCAAAATTGCTTTCCATTGTCGTCATGAGTCATAAGTAGTTGTTTGAAGTTCCAACATGGGTGCCCCTTGTGATGGTGCAGCCTGTGCAATGTGGTTGAAACTCGTCCGATTTTGGATGATGACGTCGACAAAGGCAGAAATTGAGTCCTTACTGCGCCCTATCCAGGCAATTTCCGGCCCTAGCGCCTGTATGGCATAGTCAGAGGCCACAGATTCGTTGCAAGTAGTAGTTTCGGAGACCATTTTTCTCGTGAACTGTCCTTTGAGTATAATACTTTACACGATCACTGGATTAATTTCACTTCGAGCGCTTTCTGAAAAGTAGTCTTACGTATTTTGTGGGGATTCAGATGCTGTACATAGTCTACCATAGTGTTATCAAATCTAATATATATGACTGAGCCAGAGCAGTTCCTAATAGGTTCGGCATTTCACCACACCAAAATGGTCTGTCCCACCACATCTCATCTTCAATTAGATTGACTTGGTTCAGAGTAGTTTAAGGACGAAGTCACTATTAAAAAAATCACCTCTTATTGAGAAAGCTAGTCGCTCGTTGCTCATTAGCCAATCTACCATCTCAAACCAAGTTCGAATTCATGGCGCACTCCGAAATACTTGCCAACACCTTTGGTCTTGTTTTAGTGAAAGCTAAATGCTGAATGGTATGACTTTCAACTGATCCAGTGGGTAGAATTTTTCCGAACCTATCGAAGAAACAGAACTCAATGTAAAAAGGGTAAAAAGGAAATTTTTGCNCATTTATGTATCCTGATCGCAATTAACCTTAGGGGCATGGAAGGAAACGGATCTGCAATCACTTGTGTGGTTCTGATTTGAGTAACCTGTACTAATCAGTAGGGGTTTTGCGATTTATACTGCTGTGGATAGAGGCAATTAGTCGAAGAACTTGAACAAACTTCATTATATCGTAGAAGCAATAACTGATCTACGAACATTACCAACTAATAGAGATTCATTTATATAGAACTAATAACAACGATATTCTACACGTATTTATGACAAAACTGTTCGTCTCATGTAAAGAGTAAGCGATTTTTCACAGTTACTCATTCCTGCCACAGTGGTCTTTGGTAGTGTTAACGATCACAACAGTAGAAAACAGTGCTGAGGGGAACTGATTTTCAGGCGTTTTTACGCCATTCAGAGCAGCAGTATCGTAATGAGCTGTTGATGTGGACCTAATGACACTATGGCATGACGTACAGTACTGTGATAGCATTCACAAACATTCAATACACCGCATTGTATGCGAATATTCATCTCACAGATTCGATAAACGTGTTTGAACTAGTACAATGGTATTGCAATTAATCATATAAAATTACTTATTACAAAAAAAAACAGTGTAGAAAGAGAAAGAGAATGGGAGAAGATAATTCTTTGTTTCAAAGGGTAAGGCGTTTACGAATCATGAGCTTGTTGAGCTTGATAGTGGGGTGACCCGCACGAAGCTCCAATGAGCAGGGTTGTGGTGTCTAAGGTATTCATCTTTGTTTTCCCAGATAAATTGCATTCACTTTGGATCGCCTTATCGGGGGGGGGNCTTTGGATCGCCTTATCGGGGAGGGTGCCTCATTGAGCAATGACACAGGAGAAATAACACGAGAGGATACACGAACGATGAGAGAGCGAATAGCCGGGATGTGAGGCAGTCGTGGGGCGATACTAGTATAAATGCAAGTAAAACGGCAATTACAATGGCGAAAGGCGCCTCACCTCCTCCTATCAAGGCTAGAGCGAGAGATAGAATTTCAGGCTTCTGGCTGGACGACATTCACGTCGTCCTCCGTCTTTGCGCGTGGAGAAAACGTTTAATGACTAGGGATAATGAATAAATGATGAGTGAAACGGGGAAAAAATAATGAAATTCAAGAATAAAAGGCCATAATGAAAAAAGAAGGCGAAAAACCACAAGCAACAATTCAGCCGCTACTACACTACTACTGACTAATTGTTTGTAGTTAGAAGGTGTGTGTATCCGTACACAAACGATTAATATAATCAAATACATCACCACTAAAACCTATAATTGTTAACTATTATATAAGGTCATTATCAAAATAAACATTTGAAAAGTAAAAAAAAAAAAACACAAATGCTGCTCTATCCCGACATTTGTACCCTATTTCGTAGAACATGGCAAGAACAATCTCAACATTTCAGTGTACGGTGGCTTGGGGTGTAATTGTGTGTAAATATGTGTGAAGATGTGTAACGGGGGGCTAAACAGTACACGCATTCGCTCTTTCGTAGACAAACCAGTTCAAAAAAGGTCGAATAAAAATGGATAAAATGTTAGATAAAACTGCTGTCACTGGTTAAAAGTCCAAGAAGCGATTTAGAAAAAAAATGAAAATAAAAAGTCAAACGAAAATACTACAATATTTGCTTCTCCTTAGAAATTCACGGGAAGATCAAACCACTCATCTACCAGTAAGGACCATCAGTACTCAAATTCTTCCACGACGCAAAATGCGCCCAGTCATTATGGTTCAGAGTGTACGCATCATCACGGTCCATGTATTTGAGGCTAAATTAGTAAACAATTAGTTGACATAACTGAAAATTAGGTGATTTTAAGGTAAACAATCGAAGCATAGTTGTAAGATCAACCAAAATCTGAAGGTTAGATGATAAGCTGCAACACAAATGCAAAACCGGTTGCGCACAAAGGCTTACTATCGATTACCTCGGCCTTTAGAATCACGACCAGACCCATTTCTTTTACAGTATCAAGTACTAAGTTCGCGGTTCTTTCAAAACCCACAGCTGAATTTTATGTCTCAAATTTTGAAGAAAACTTTTTCAAAACCTATCGAGTAGAAGCGACTAACCTTCCAAATAACGGAGGCACTGTTCTCTTCTGGGGTACATTCACATCCTGATGTTCCAACTTGTAATTCTCTCCACCATTCGAATCCCAGTGTTCGCAACCATTTGCAATGTAACATATGCAGAATTCCAACCGTTTAGCCTGAGAATCAGTACTACAGTATATAGGGCAGTGTAAAAAAAACTTGCAAAGAATTTTGCATGCCAATTTTGTTAACGATCTTCGACATTTCAAGGTCATATCATATCACCACATTTTTCAACTGGTTCTTGCCGACAACCTTGCTAATTTTCACGACTTTTTGATCGTTCTCCAGTTCAGGACTCGTTCAGACACCCATAAAAATGTTATTCTCCTACTGCCCGCAAACAACTAGTCCTAACAGTTTCCATTGAACACTGCCTGCCCCGTTTTTTTGCTCGAATGCTCCACATTCTACCGTACCCTGAAGACGGTAGCTGTAAATGCCGATAGACCTGGCTGGCCTTTCAAAAAACTTTCAAGAACCACGATAGGAGCAGAACGAGTTTATCAAAATAGTCTGGAAACGCGGAAGCACTGAACAGTTGTCTTGGACATGTCCTGACAGGAACTCGAGCTCGAACGTACCCTATGTAGACATCGCGCTCCAATCCGTCTACCGTAATATGTTTATTAAACCCATGAAATCCGACAAAATCGCGCCATAGCCATCACAAATGCGGGCAAAACGCCCTGTATTGGATAAGACTTGAGCCCGACGCTGCGCTTTCGGGCAGAGCGCTCTCTCCCTTTGCACTCCAAAGACATCCTTCCACTTCCCGATAGCATATTGTTTTGGAATATTTATGAGACAGTCTATAAAGTCCCCAGTAGATGTATCTACCAACTTTGATATTTGAAAACAAACTAACGCCAAGGACTTTTTCTGGGACGGCTCATTTACTACCGTATTCACGTCAAAGAGTGAAAACAGGCCATGTGCATTGCATAGTATCATGCACGTGTACACCACACTATGATAAGAGCCCTCTACCAATTGAGGAATGCGCACATCAATCAGAAGAAAATATTTTACAGCTATGAAATATGGAGTTCTTGCGCAGCGGTGCCGTCCTGCGACAGAAAACGGATTCGTACACGACGTGCATTGACCATAACATTACTGCGTTCATTTTGAAGTATTACCCTAAGAATGTCATTAATATCAACATGTTTTTAGATATGAAATGCACGGAATGTAAGTAAGCGGGATTCCGGAATAGGTACTATCCAATGGTGCACGTACTCGTTCCCGCCATACACACTCCTATTGGTCAAAGGTCGCGGAAGCCCCGCCCACCCCCTGTGCAGCCTTACTGCAACCCAAGTTACGGTTTCATTCATGGGAAGGAGTTGGTCTTTTTGCAAAGCAACTTTTTATATGGGTCATAAAATGCCTATCGATCCACTGTACTGGCACCGATTTGAAAGGTCAGAAGAATTGGAAAGTTGCATTATGATTGGGTATACAAATTGTACTTGATGAACCGAGATTTCAGTTAACTACGAGTATGAACTAGTAGCATGCACGGCAGAGCCTGCTCCCTTCTAGTGTTTATTTGAGAAATTCCCACTGAGAAGTCGCATAGCCTTGCTAAAGTTGGAGCATTTCAAATTTTTGGGTTGGAACATTTCCAAAGTAATAGGTATGTACACCCAAAATCCCCTCTGTCCTCCGTCCCAACTAGCAAGTACTACCACAAGAAAAGGTGAGCTTCGAAAACAAAGTGGGAAGAATACCAAAGCATTTGAAAGTTGAGAACCCTTGAGCTTTTTGCATACTTGACAGTCAAGGACAAGAGTACTCAAAAGACGGTGTTCTAGTGGTGAGTGGATTGAGCGAACTCGACCAGAGTTGTCCAATTAGTTATAGGCTCCAGTATCAGCACACATGGAGGACAAAACTTCGTTTTCAACACCAGCTGCCATCTTTCAATCACTTTCTAGCTGCTTTCAAATTGCTTTATATCTCCAAATAGAATACCATTGCGTGGCGTATCCAGGCATAATAGTAAATGTCTGGATTTTTCCGTTCCATTTGTAAAGCACAACACTGATAAGAATACCTAGAAAACCTAGAACTAAAGGTGTTGAATCATACCTTAACCCGCTTTGTAAACTCAGCAGGCTAGGTTTGACGGGTTCACAAAGGGATCAGTTCGGTCTTGGCGACCCTGATTCACGGGCCACCGTGCAACCTACAGAAATAAAAAATTCAGTGACGTGTCTCATATGATGTAATTACGACAGAATGAGGCCTCATATGATGTAATGTGGCAGAAAGTCCATATACGTCATGGTGGCTTGTTCAGAACCACCGCACTTGTAAAAAAGCTGACTCTGCATAAACGTGACCAGTAAGTGACAAACTCACGTGCAAAGTTTCCGATCTTTTGAAATTGTTCTACATATTATGATATATAATATTACATAGTACTCTTTAATATTACATAATACTCTGGTAAATTAATATTCTGAGCTTACAATTAGACGAATGCATTAGACTGGTGACAAGGGAGGACAACTAAGCCGATTCTTTTGTGAAATGATTTCATACAAGGGTGACTACTTAGATAGGAGATAGGAATAGTAAGAATTACCACCCGAGAGGATTGGATACCATCCATACTACTAAAATAAGCTTTTCATTTTCCCAAAGCTCAGTGTCTGGTAAAACTTTTGGAGAAGGTTTAGACGCTCTAAAAGGCACTGTAGGGGCCAATTAAGCTTCCAATCCTTTTTTACTGTTAAAAAAAAGTGCCGAATGCCTGGCTCACCGAAGTACAAGCTTTATAACCAGCAAGTGGATGATTTTTCTCGGTATTGCAGTTATCAGCTTCATCTTGACATGTACATTGTACTTATGACCAGATCAAAGAAGTGTATACTTAACTTCCGGATTGTCTGGTTCATTGAAGGGTTACCGAAATGGGGTTTTCGCAACACCGTGTTGTAAAGTGTAACAAGTTCCGGAGAAAAAGTATAAATAATGACCCTACAGGTCATTATTTATACTTTTTCCCCGGAACGTCATAGCCATTACCAGGCATACAAAGTTGTTTCTGAGTTGCCTTTTATCAGAATTGAGATCGGTGACCTCAAAGCGATGACACGGAGGAGTGTCGTTCTTCAGAAAGACCGGCAGCAGTCTGCGTCATTGGAATTTCTTGGACGTGCCTGAATAAGGCCGGCGTGCCGTCCGCTAGGAAAGGGCTGAATGCCGACGTTCTGTACAAGGAAGTAATGCAGCCACGGGAAAAAAACTGGAGGCAATTCAACGAAATGGTGCTTTCTGGAAGTGATACGCACCAGACGATGGATTAGAGGAAGTGAGTGGCAATCGGAGAAAACGGCGGACCCCCTGATGGGATTGGACTTAAGCCTGAGGACACTAACAAGAGTTCACTGCGGAAGTACAACGAGAGTACAGCTGAACCTCAGACGCGGAAAGGAGCTTCATCGGAGAATGTCCTACAACCAATTGGACCCTTCTTTTTCTGTTGATAAAGCTTGTACTTTAACCACATTTCTGCTGCTTCCTTTTGCCTTCTACTGAATCGATGGCTAGCTGGCAAAGAAGGGAATACTGGAGTGGTAAACAACAGCATAGTAGAGAAGAATAAATTATCCTACCCAGCGACGGGGTTCAAGGTGAAATAGAAATAAATCATGAAAACTTCCACAGTATACTGTATAAGCGCTAGGTGATTTACAGCCTTAAATTTCCATTAAAACAATATCACAGGTAGGGAAAAAGACCAACACTTTTTTCCCTCGGTTCTCTACGCCGTTCTGACCAAAGTACTCTTAGTCTACTGAACGATTACCACTTACATCCAAAATGACACAAAGTCATTCATGCCAACTATCATAAAGGAAAAACGACGTTATCACAGTTTCGTTTTTCCCGGTATCGTTCAACACCCCTGAATAAAAGAATCACGTGAAAATGGGCAATAAACTAGTCTTTTCCAGAATTTTCCGAGAATTTGGTCCTCGGTCTTGAAGGTTATCTACAGTGCTGCGCTTTAGCACATGCCACCAATGCGCTGAGGGGCGGGGTTTGTGACATGATGGGACCCATGGAGTGAAGTGGCACTTTTGAACAACAGCGATTCAAATAGTCCTCGTACTTTTCTTTCTAGAACTTGCGATAAAATTGCCCTTCACACAAATTAAAGCTAATTAAGCGCAATTAGAGGTAAAGCCTGTTTATTGTAAGTGATCCTTGTTGAAAAAAGTCAAACTCACCTTATCAGTTGCTTTCGGCAATTCCACTTCAAAGGTGAACGTGTCATACACTTTACTGGTAGATGGCTGGTACGTAGCCTGCCGATCCATATAGGACTGCCAATTGTTAGTTGTGTATCTGACGAAGACCTTCTTCTCAAATGCAATATTGGATACCTGAAATAGGTCATCATTTAAAAAGTACGAGTCATAAACTGTCGAGCTCCCATCAGTTTGGAAGGTCTGGCAGCAGTTCGTAAATATTATTAGAGAATTTTAGGTAATGTCAGGTAATTTGGTAATTTTAGGTAACTTGGTAATTTGCCCAAGTTTGAGCGAAATTTCTCCAACTATGAGCAAATATTGCCTATGATTGGTTCATGGAGCAAAGAGCCAATCACGCCTCGAGCTTTCCCGCCACAAATCGATAGATCGATTTTGTAGTAAAAGACATTCCCGATGCAGAAAGACGTCTAAAGGAGCATTTTACAGATGATGCCAGTGAAATAAATAATTTTGAAAAATGAAAGCAAGATAATTCAGTTTGCCTTTGACAGATTTCAGAGATGAGGCGAGTTAGCAAATTCCAACTTCTCAGGAAGACAAGTAAGCAAATAGTAGAAAGTAAGCGAGTAAACAGAGGCCAATCATCAAACGACTAACAACGTTGTCGCTGTTCAGCTTTAACTTTCAAATAACTTTGTTGATCAATAAATTTACCAATAACTACTGAGTAAAACAGCAACATAGCGGGGGTAGTAGCAACTTGAATAGTTAAAGTTAGTTTACTCTTAGTTATCTGTGGAGAACCACGGACTTCAAGTTTTTTGCTTATTTATCAGCTAACCGATCCCCTTATCATTTTCAGAAGGCGTTATCAATCTCCTATGACCTTACGATTCTCGCAAGCACGATTTTGGGATTTGACTTACAACCTTAAAGTACTACTGTAATTATTTCACCTGTACAGTTCACCCTTTTGGGTAATTTTCTATAGAGAATGGATATTACCGTAATACTGCTCCCAGAATTACATACTCAATCCTGATACTGGTAATAGAAGCAGTAGAAGAATAAGGTTTTTTCGGGTTTTGCTGTCCAGTGATACCCACCTTGATAGTGCCGACAATCTTTGACGAATCCGGCTTCACCACCACATTCTCAAGCGATACACGGTCCTTAAACAATGGAAGATGAATGACTTTAGGATAACATCTAAATGGGAGGGTGGGGGACACCCCAACGAATCGATAGTATCGCACTCACCTTTGCTAAGGTTTCCCTGAATCGCACATATTCACTGGCAGGTTGCTTAAATAATAAGTTCCATGTTGGAACTGGATCACTGTGAGGTGCTTCTTCTACGTATGAATCACCTTTAATTCATTTGATTATTAGTAAAACTTTATCGATTAAATCGAAAGAATAAAAAATAATTACCTCGTAGTCTTCTAAGGACACTTGGGTTAATCTGAGGTGGATAGTCACTGGGCTCGGTCATAACCCTAACAGAATACAATTCCTGACCACAGTCATCAGCGAAGCGGACCGATTTTTGAGTTTTACATGATACCTGAAAAAAACTTGATGGAGGTTTTTACTGGTAATAAGGTGAGCCTTAAAAAGTAATGTTCTCACTTCAACGATCTGCTCAGTTACGGTCTGTCCCTTTCCGGATGTATCAGATTCGTCAGATGTGGAAGAGCTTGAGTCCGACTCACAGTCGCTTGCTTCCTCTGCAACTGAAGGATACTAGTGGGGAACAGTATGGACGAAGTAACTCTATACTAAAGCTCTTTGTTTCAAAAATATCAAAAATAATGAAAAATAAGATTTTTTCGATTCCTTTTTGTTTCAAAAATATCAAAAATAATGAAAAATAAGATTTTTCGATTCATCAAATAGATCTCTGTTATTTTGACTGGGAAACCTCACCACATTCTTCTACGATCTCCCGTGGGCGATTGCGAAAAGCGTCCAAGTTGATTTGACTGAATCGGATTTTATTCAGACCCTCGGATTCACTCTGTGATCGGACCTGAAACGAAACCACTTCAAAATATGATCCCTTCACTACAGTATGGAGTTGTTGAGGCTGTTACGGTCACCGAGGATGACATCAAGAGTGAAATCATAGGAAAAGGGGTCCAAATGGAGTTCCGTGCACTGTAAACGAAATGGGAAGTAGTTGTTGTGATAGGCATGTTTATTTGATGGGAATGAACGGGAACGTCTGTTTCCTCACACACTCACCAGACAGAATCGATTGGTGGAACACCTGGTGAGGGTTATGGGCCACATGTTTCTGACCAGACTTGTATCGATTTGTGAATTTCAACTGGTACTACTGCGTAGGTAAGTAGTAAAGTAATGGAGAAGTAAACATGTAGTACTAACCTTGAGAGCGCTACTAGGGACCAATGTATGATCTCCGAAGAAAGGAAAGCTGGCGGCTCGGCGACACCCGGTAAAATATCCAGCAGGTGTAGAGTGGTAGCACGTTTCCCATTCTTTTTCGCCTACCATCGCCTGCCTTTACTGGAAAGAGTTGAAAACAGTAAGTAAACAACAGCACCTGCAAAACGACGTATATAGAGCGGAATAATCGACGACAAAACAAAAAACGCCTCGGTTTTTCCACGGTTCCAAAGAGAAATAAAAGCCGGTATGGGAAAAAAAGATACGGGTACATGCAACGGCAATGAGAGAAAGTTACACATGGCCGTGCTCAGCATCGCCCCAGTCCCCCGTCCGTCCCATCAGGGACGTAACTCGCCTGCAACCACCATTGAAGAAATCAATCAGCGTGGTGCTAGGCACCATCACCAATGCTTTTCATTGAGTCACTCTCCATTCGGGAAAATCTTCGATCTTACTCCCGATCATTCGATAATCACCCGTGTAATTTGTTTATGAAAATTAAATAAACAAACTGTTACACAAATGAACGGGGTGGGCAGTAATCGCCCGAGAACGAGAGAGAGAGATAGGCCACAAAACAGTAGGTGCTAAAGCGATACGGGTGATTAAGATAAGGGAAACTTCTCGTATCGTGTGGGGGGCTATAAAAAATGGTGTCCCGTTCAGCAATTTTTCATGAAAATCACCCAGGTCGAGATCGATATTTTCAGGTCGTGACCAGGTAGTTTAGGCTATCCAGGAAGAAAGTCTGGGCCTGTACTTTTGGCCCGGTCCAGGTCCGAATGTATACAGATATATGGGTGGCTGGCTGGGTGGAAACTAGAGACACGGTAGCAGAAATGGATAGGGTTTAAAACGAAACGTCGTGAAGATAGTGCAAGCTGTCGGCGACAGACATGAAGAAACTGGGCAATTCACACCCTGAGACGATTTTCGGATGGCATGAAAAAAGCACGTGAAACAGCCATGATACCTGGGCTAAAATCGTATTGAACTCAGAAACGGAGAAACGGTCGGGGGTTCATGAAAACTGAATGTGTGAAAGACGATAAAGAATGATCGAGAGAGAGAAAGAATCATATCGGCTGACATCTCGTCCAATCGTCCCACCGTTTCCAGCCCCTTTCTGCAAAATGTACCCAACCGTTTCTGAAGAATAACAAACCCGTACGAACCCACGAATATAAGGAGGGGTCACTACTAAGTAAGATGGCACTACACAAAAGATACAGAATATCAACCTCTGAGAACTGGTTCTTCAAACGTTGTGGTCTCGTCAACTCATAAATCACTACCATTTGGCCCCTGTCATCCGTAAATACAAACACACACACAGTGTCTCGCATAAGTATAACTAACTGGCGTGAAATTAAAAAGTAAAAGTAAAGTTGAGTAAACGCGTGACATACTGGCAACAGAACAACAACAAAAAAAGCAGTTTACGGGGCAAAAGGCCGAAAGCTGCACTGAATGAGCCGAATGTGCGAATATTAGATTGGAGTTTGCCGAGTTCGGAAGCACCCCACGAGCTCACCCAAACCGAATGTGGGAGATTCAGACTGCTGAGTTCGGGACGAACCCGAAATGAACGTAGGGAAGGCGGACTGATGCAAGCTTTTCAGCTTAAAAGGGGGCCCATTGTACTTGATGTTTTCGAAACACACAGAGCCTATTGCTGGGGGCTATCGATCGGCAAGGCTTTTGGCACCCCCAGAACTTACCGGTATCACCATTTACCGTTAGCTATATCCAATTACATCACAAGTTTTTACTAAGAAGAGGAACTTGTAGAAGAGACGAAAGTATATGGAAGTGAACTTACTGGTTATATCGATAACAAAGAGTATTTATAGAGTAATGGAGGAGGAGTAACTGATGAAATCATTAGATTTCATCGAAGTGGATATTTTGTAAGCATGTGGCCAGATTGTTCGTTGATCACCATGTGCTATTCACATGAGTATAATTAGCTCATTGTAAACATTACATAGACCGATAGTGTAGAGGAGCTACTGCGATAAGACGAGGGAGCTTCAGATGACCTTCTAAGGGTACTTACAGAACTCCAGAGAATCGTTTGAGAATAAGTAAAATGATGGCAGTAATAACCAGTAACAGCAGTGTGGACGTACGTAACTTCATTGGATGTTCGTTTGTTTAGCCATAATATTGGCGAGCGATCGATAAGATCTAGTTATTGATCTCTAGAGCAGTAGCGCTTTCCTTTCATCGCCGCTGATGATCGCCATCAGATTCGTCGTCGGGCAGAAAGTTTTCGACGTCGTCGAAATAGGTGAATCGCCGGTTCTCAGCAGCCAGCAGCAGCAGCCAGCAGCCCAGCAGCAGCAGCCACAATGCAGACGACGGCGTCGGCCTCGGCGATAATATTCGATGGGGGAAAACGGCTCATAAAACAGGCATTTTAGCTCAAGTGACGGATAGGATCGTTGACTGATTACATGAGCAGCGCTCAATGTAAATACTGATCAGCTCGGAACTTGATGCTGCAAATATTTTAACAGTTCACGAGTAAATATATGCAGAAGCATCCCCTCTGACAGCTTTCCCGAACGTGTAATGACGAGGACGTGAGGCGAGTTGGATTATAATGTCGATTTCGAGGGGAGACGACGAGGCAACCCCTCCTCCTACTCTCCTCATGCTCTCTGTGCTGATGTGCTAGCGCATTTGTCGGCGAAAAAATGAGCCTCAGAACATGCAGCTCGAGCTGACTGCTGAGCGCAAGTCATACCAGAGGTGAAAGATCTAACGAGAAACGGAGATGAACGGATGAATGAAATCTGCTCTATAAATGGCTCGCCGTGCACTTTCCACGAATAAAAAGATTCAGAAGATTATGAAACAGTCGATTGAATAAACGGGGTTTCAGTTATGAAACTGGGAAACCGGGGCAAGTCACATTACTACTGAGGGTAGTGTGGTGATAGCGATTTCAGTGCTGCACCATTAGACCTCTGTATTAGATAACAGTAGAAATCAAACAGAGGAGAGTGACAACGGTTACTAAGTAGTCGATAAACAGCCAAACACTTTGTGGTTAACTGGTCTATCGTCGACCGAACTGATAGAAGGGGAAGGAGCTGGCCATCTCGGCCGTATCAATCACCCACGCGATATAGTCGCCATTGACGACGTGATGGTGTCGGCGGCGGTGGCGGCAGAGCGGTGATGGCGAAGAAGGAGTTGTATAAAAAAAATCCGAGAAGATTAAGAAAATCAAACATCAAATTAACCAAAAACTCCCAAATTCAAGGATTCCCACCTAGATTTTTCCAAACTACTCCGCACATACCCCTTGTTTTATGAAGGTAAGGAGTCACGAGTAACTGACGGGAGAAGGGGAGATAGAGGGTAGGGTCCAGGAAACTCACGTGCCTATTTCGGTGAAGCTTACGGGGAATCATTAAGAAAACACTGGCCCCACGAAAAGTCAGGCAATCTGAACGGAGTGGCGGCGTTATGACAGTTTTACGACAGGTATTGATATGAGCAGCGTCTAAAAGATCGATGTATGATCAAACGTATCAAAACGAGAGAACAACCATGAATTCATTGACATCAGATGAGCAATACAGATATTTTCAAACGATTATAGAAAAATAAGAAGTGTGACCATTCATATGTGGCAATAACAAAAAANAAAAAATGAAACCGGAAAATCAGTGTGCCAGGAAATTCCTCCATCATAATCACACTGGTGGCTGATGCCACTGGTGATCGTCATGGTACTTGAATGAGCACACATACTGCACATAACATTCACTATAGATAGGTGAGACTCCCCATGGGAATGATAAATGTCTTTTGGGAAGAAAGAAAAAGAAACAAAAAGTGCAGTGTCTGCAATGAAATCATGGCCGTATTTTGTGTGATTAGGAAATTCGTGCATCTGATATTGTTGGCTGGCGGCTGGCGGCGGTGTTGCCCAACTGGCCAGCCAGCCCATTCGGGAGTGGGAAGGCTATGGGCTTATAAAATCGTAAAAGAACACACACACCATACAGCCAGAGTGGTGCATGCACTGCTGAATTCCCCTCCAACGAACAGCTGGTCGTGGCGGTGGGATGGGTGATGGGGATAGTGATCGAAGAGTGCTTGTTTTTAAAGCTTTGACAAGCAGTCAAACAGTTGTTGCTGTTGATATGGGGGCCCTACTAACGCATCACATCCCCAAATCATACGACATCTATCTAAAATGTTCTCTTATTGATCATGCGGGTGATATGGTTGGAAAAATTGGTTGGTTGGTGAGATGTATCTGTGCAATGTGGCGTGTTGAATGGGGGGAGTCTGCAATACCAAGTTGTCAGATTGGAGTATCCCGATCATAAGTCATCGCAAAGCAAAAGGGCGACAGAAAGAAAGCAGACAATTGCATTCGTTTCTAGTCTTTGGGCTTATGATACACAGCTGAAGAAGGCCTAATTAAGAAACTCTGCTGAATAGCCATGGAAATCTCGTTCCCAAGCAGTCTCCATGGGGATTTGTGGGGGGATCTGGCGATGTTGTGAGCCTTGACCTAGGTAATACACTGAAATAAAAGTTCAATGGCGCGCTCGGGCGCGTTCATTGTCCAAGGGACAGAAGATGGGCAGAAAACCAAAGCGAAAAAAAACCACAGCAATGAAATTAAATTTCTTATGAAATCGTTCATATTATGACATAACTTGTAGGTAATTAGTAGAAAAACATGGAGCGTGGGAAGAAATGAATTATCATTCTGAATTCGACGAATACCCCAGCTCCCAGCCACACAAAGTGATGCCTCAACCCATGCTTTCGTTCGAACTTTGCAAGATTACCAGTCGAACGGGAACATGTGACAACTGTCGCGCGTTAGAGCTCGTGTAGGTACGTGTGTGCTCAACAGAAGGTTGAATAGAGGAACAGAGATGAACGAGGGACGGGAAGAGAGGAGGACGAGGAGGAGGAGGTAAGATGTGGTGAGTTGAGAGGGCACTTGGATGAGGCTTAAGCCCGACAACGAGGCGCCATTACATTCCTCACGTCGGCAGGCTTTTTTTGCCTCGAGACTCGAGGAATCGGATTATGTCTCCGGACTTTGCATGCGATTTTCTACGTTA